CATTCAATAACAAGTCTTTTAATGCAGGTAAGAAAAATAAATAACTTTTGCAAATAAAAACTTCAGATTTCTTCACATTTATTAATGGAACCATCATGGTCTGTCCTGTTTAAAATGACAAAACACTAAATTATTTCTTTACTAAAACCTCTGTAACTTTGCTCCAGTTATTTTTAGCAGCATGAATCTTTGTACAGGTGATGTTCACAAGTGGATTTATGTTTCCAAGAGTTTTTAGCCTGATTTATTATGGTTTATAAATGTTATATACTGTCTAATGAAAAAAAAAACTTCAATTAGTCTAAAACAGCAGCTGTTTTAATTCTGACACTTGTAATAAAATCTGCAGGTGTTGATTTATTTTGATATCAGGATTATTTAAGTCGAGTTTCAGTCTGATTTAATGAGAGAAAACATGAAGAAAAGCCCAACAGAACCGAACCTGTCCCGTGTGTTCAGGTCCTGGAGACGTGGCTCAGCTACATCCAGCCCTGGAGGTACACCACAGAGAAGAGCAACCCCCAACCGGACCAGAACAGAACCGTTCCAGACAAATGGTGAGTTCTTGTGCACGACCCGCTCCGCTGAACGTGGTTCTCCTCCTGACAAACGGGCCGGGCCTTGTTCTGCAGGGAGCCGTTTGTCCACGAGAACCTGCTGTTCTACACCAAGCTGTTCCAGGGCTTCCTGAACCGGGCCCTGAAGACGGACCTGGTCAATGCCAAGAACGCCCTGATGGTGTTCCGGGTGTCCAAGGTGTTCGCTCAGCCCCACCTGGCCGACATGGTCCAGAAAGGTGAGTCCACCGGGTTCTGGTTCTGGTGGGGCGGGGCAGTTTGTACCTGGTTCTACCTGGTTCTGTCCCTGCAGGCGAGCAGCTGTTCCTGGAACCAGAACAGGTGGTCCAGCACCGGCAGCCCCGAGGCTGCCTGGCGCCCGGCCCGGGGGGCGGAGCCTTGTGGTGGCGGCAGCACGTGGTGACGGACAGCGTGAAGGTGAAGAGTCACGTGTTCTCCCTGGAGGGCCCGGACTGTCAGTACCAGCAGATGTTCGGGTCGGACCTCAGAGCAGCGGTGAGTCCCCGGGCTCTGGGTTTGTGGTCCGGGCCCGCTCCAGGAGCTCACAGCTTCCCGGTTCCGTCTGCAGATCCTGAACTTCATCCAGATCATCGCTCAGGCCCGGCAGACCGCCAAGAGGATCTCGGACCAGTCCATCGAGGCGGCGTCCAGCTCCTCCTTCCTGTCCTGGTTCGGACTGGGCTCGTCCGACAACAACAACACTCTGACCGGCGCCGAGCCCGAGGACAGCGGCGAGTGTCTGAGGAGGACCCACGAGTTCCTGGACCGGGCCCTGGAGAACCTGAGTCTCATCTTTAAGGTCAGTGTTCCTCTCCTCCCGCCACAGGAAGTAGAACCTCAGCTGTGTGACTCACTTCCTGTGTGTCTGCAGCTGAACCAGGGTCAGCTGGTCCAGCTCGTGTCCAACCTGGGCTCGGCTCCGGACGACGGACTCTCCAAGCAGCTGCCGGACTGCGTCCAGAGCGAGAACGGGCTGGTTCTGACGGACCTGGGCCGGAGGCAGGTGGGTGTCGGACCCGCGGGGGCGGGGTCAGGGCTAGCAGCTGTAATCTGACTCCGCCCACTTCTGTGTCCCCGCAGATCATCAACGGACTGCGCCGCTTCGACCTTCAGTACCAGGGAGACCCGGAGCTGCAGCCAATCAGGAGCTACGAGAACGCCCTGCTGGTCCGGTTCCTGTACCGGGTCTCGTCTCTGGTCAACATCAGAGTGAGTGTGCAAAAGTCCTGATCCGGGTCAAGGCTCTTTAAAACTAATGTTTATTTTTACTCAGTTAAAGTTGGTTTGTGTGTAGTAATGAATATCTTACCGTTTCTGACTGGATTAATGAGCTGAAGGCTAGTCTGAGCAGGACCAGGACCAGGACCAGGACCAGTCCCAGCTGTGTTCAGACTAGCCTTTAGCTCGTTAGTCCAGTCTTTCTTTGGAGGTGATTAACCCTCAGGTTCTGTGTTCCTTCCTGTCAGCTGGAGGGTCACATGACCGCCCTCTGCTCGCGCCCGGACTTCCTGGGCCGGCTCGGTCGGTACTACCTGACGGATCGGGACTCGTGGGTGAGACTGAGGCAGAGTCCGATGAACCGGCAGACCGCGGAGCGGGTCCGGCGGCCCCGGCTGAGCCTGCGGCCCCTGGCCAGCTACCAGACCCTCCTCCTGCTGCTCCTCTTCTATGCACTGGGGGCCCTGCTGTCCTTCGGACCCGTGTCCAGCACCGCGCTCCTCATGGCGGGAGCGGTTCTGTACGGAGTTCTGATGACGCTGTTTGGAGACAAACTGAAAGTTCAGTGAGCCCCGACAGGAAGCTGAGGTTTGGGTCGGTTCTGATCGTTTCTACGACTGGATCTCAGAGGAGAATACGACTCGACTTCTTGTAAAGAAAGTTTTGTATTTTTTGCTCCTGCAGGCCGAAAGGCTTTGACTGATGGATTAAAGTATTTTATTTTGAAAATAAAATTTCAATAAAACATTAGTTTTGTTTTCTTTCTGCAGAGAATTATTTTNGGGGTCTGAGCTTTGCTGATTGGCTGCTCGGGGTCTGAGCTTTGCTGATTGGCTGCTCGGGGTCTGAGCTTTGCTGATTGGCTGCTCGGGGTCTGTGCTACACTCTGGCTGCTCGGGGTCTGTGCTGCACTCTGATTGGCTGCTCGGGGTCTGTGCTGCACTCTGATTGGCTGCTCGGGGTCGGTCTGCACTCTGATTGGCTGCTCGGGGTCGGTCTGCACTCTGATTGGCTGCTCGGGGTCGGTCTGCACTCTGATTGGCTGCTCGGGGTCTGAGCTGTTCTCTGATTGGCTGTGGTTCTGGAAGCAGGTTTAACTGACCCGTGTGGATCATTTCAGGAACCCTTCAGTCCGTCAGAGGAACACGTGTTGGTGGTCCGCCTCCTGGTCAAACATCTGCACTCCTTCTCCAACAGCCTGAAGCCTGAGCAGCTGCCTTCATCCTCATCATCATCACCTTCAGCCCACTCACACACACACCCCAGCCCACTGGAGGAGTTCAAGAGGTCAGCACACACACACACACACACACACACACACACACACACACACACACACACACACACACACACACACACAC